CCCCCCCCCCCCCCCACACACACACACACAGATCAGAAGAAGTAGCGTCTTTTCATCTCCTCTGTCCGGTGCGGGCGTTGACGTGTTACATAGCGTGCACAGCTGCAATGCGTCAACATTTGTTTGTGCATTATAGAGATGCATCTGCAGGTCGACCGTTATCCACCCAGTGCTTGTCACACTGGCTGTGTGAGGCCATTTCTGAAGCCTACAGAGCATCAGATTTAGAGCCTCCTGTCAACCTCGGAGCACACTTGATCAGGGGTATCGCATCTTCGACTGCTTTGCATAATGGTATGGCAATGCAGGACATTTTGCACTGCGGCCGCGTGGTCAACACCCTGCTGATTTATTTGCTTTTATCTACGTGATGTGATGGCTTGTTCCATGACACATTCTGTCCTTACTGCTCCAACAGTATGAATATTATTGTTTTCATGGAACTCCGTTTTACTCACATCTATCTGGATGCATTACAGTGTGAGATATTATCAGTCACAAGTTGTGATTGTTATTTTGGTTCTATTGTCACTAATCAGTTCACGACTATTGTTACCAATCAGTTCATTTGATTAATAATCAGCTCTCCTGTTATTATTAATCTGTTCATACGATTCAGCCTTAAACCGGTTGGTTCATGGCTCTTTTCAGCATTTTTCCCTCCCCGTTGAAGTTTTCTGGGGCGTTCATGCATTCAGAACGCATAGTTACACAACATGCGTCTGTACATGGCACACATAATTACGCAATGTGTAATTACGCACATGGGGAGCTGAGTGACGAGACGAGACGAGACAGGTTCAGAGCATCTCAGCAGAATTTGAGAGACGATTTACTGACTTTTCCTCCATCGAGCCTGTTACCAGCTACATGTGTTATCCTTTTGGAAATGTTGATGTGGATGACATTGTGTCCAAATTGGTGTCCGTGTTTCAGCTGGACAGCTCTGGTGTTGAAAATGAGGTGTTGAGTCTGCAAAATGACATTGGGATCAAATCCAGAGCATCACCTGGCGTGGATGGAGAGTTCTGGAGTCTGCTGTCAGAAGAAAAGTATCCTAACATCCGAAGATGTGCTTTGAACTTAACAGCACTTTTTGGATCTACCTACCTGTGTGAGTCTGCTTTTTCACACATGAAAATCATCAAGTCCAAAAACAGATCCACAATGAATGATGATCATCTGGAGACCTGCCTGCGCCTCGCAACCACCTCATACTGCCCAGCTTATGAGACCCTGGCCTCCTCCTCTCAGTGTCAGAAGTCCCACTAAGGTAGAGACACATTTATTTTATACAGCTTGCATAAAAAGTTGTCTCCTATAGACACATCATGTTCTGTTTTATTTACTTTAAAGAAGTGAGGAGTAGGGATTGATGAAAAATTATGTTTGTTGATAATGAGACTGGACGAGTAGCTCTCGGCAAATTGCCGACTTCAAAAGTAGCTCTTGGTTCAAAAAAGGTTGGGCACCCCTGTGCTATGGCATGTTCATTATTCCTGTGGTAACGTTCTTGTCCAGCAGGTGGCTATTAATCAACGAGTCACATTTTTCTATGCTATTTTAGCATTTTCCATGTTTATCTTCATGAGTCATCCGTAGAGTTTACATCATAATGTGAGAAGTGTAGCTTTTACTTATCTACAGCCAACAACTGAAGCGATGGTGAGTAGTTGTCACAGCACAAATGGTAAAGGCTCTCTTTAAAAATTAACTACCCCCTCCCATCCTCTCCTCCCCATTCTCTCCTCCTCTCCCCGTTTCATTGGTTCGACTGTGATATGTTCAGTTATTTCATTGATCAGATTTTTTAAAGCTTTATTTATACAGGTAGTCTCATCAATTCTCCCCTCAGGAAGGAGGTTGAGGAGCATTAAGTGTAGAACCACTAGACTGAGGAACAGCTTCTACCCTGAAGCTGTTAGACTCATGAATATCTAACCAGAATAATCACTGTGAAAAATCACATCATGTTGCTGCTGATTTATTTCAGGCTTCTGTGTTCATTCGTGCTCATCTGCTCACACAGACTCATGTTCATGCTGCTGTTCGGCATATTGTTTCTGTGCTACTAGTGCTTAGTGTGTTTTTAGTTAACATTTTTCTTAGTTCATATCTTAGATCTTATTACTGTTTTTTCTTTTACATTTCAATACTTTGTTGGATGTAACTGGGACCCTGTGTACACCATTGCATTCCACCACATGTACCATATATGTGAATGACAATAAAAAATCTTGAATGCACTTCTCTTTTGGGACGTGGGACCTCATGACTCAATTAGACTACCTCACTGGTTCATTATGGTTGACTGCTGGGCCCATGTCCTCAGGGAGGGATTATTCATAAAATGTATATTCATTATTAATCACTTTGGTTAGATGTTTATCATTATTATTTTTTTGTGATTAGTCTGTTCTTGTTAGCTTAGTTTACATGTTCATTATGTGTTAGTTTGTGTTAGGCCATTTAATAGTAACCATGAGTGAGCTAGGTAATTGCCATGAAAAGGTGTGGGGTTCACTCTGTGTGAGTCACGATTCAATTCAATTCAGTTTATTTATAAAGCGCCAAATCACAACAAAGTTGTCTCAGGGCACTTTACAGGAACATTCACATAAAAGACAATTAGTAAAGTTCTCTATCTAAGGAATCCAGCAGACAAGTTGAGTCTTGGCTTCATTGCAGTCTCCCATCCTGAGCAAGTACAGTGGCAACAGTGGAAAGAAAAA